GAGAGAGAGAGAGAGAGAGAGAGAGAGAGAGAGAGAGAGAGAGAGAGAGAGAGAGAGAGGGTAAGTCTCCAACGTCGTGGCTGACCTCACGCTACTATCATCGATAGGACGAGCAAAATTGAATGAATGGACCGCTAGAACATGGAAATATGCAATGCGACATGTTGTCTGCCAGCCGCCGCCATTGCCATCGGCACCCGTCCCCCCTCCGCGCCTTCGCCTCCGCCATCCACCCCCGCAAAATCGCATCCTGGTCGCCGTGGGCGCAGTCAAGACCGCAACGGGTACGAGCCCGACCATGGGGCACAAACGGGGATGGGTTGGGCCTGCGAACCGTTGTCCTGACTTGTTGGATCAGGAGCCGCGATAGTGGTGCAAGGGGGAGGGGGGGGCTTCGACGTCGGGAGGACGACATCGACGGACTGCAATGACTCGAGGGGCGACATCGGGGAACAACATCGACAAATAGACCGGGGGGAGGCGACGGTTGTTTAAAATGACGGAAGGGGCAGGTGGTTCGGGGGGGGGCGGGTTCATCCCTATTTCAGACGCGGATATGGTGAAGCTGAGGAGGGCCTCATGCGTCTGGAAATACGTGACGCAGGGGCAACCGGTGGGCACATGGGAGAAGATGCACGGTGATCGCAAGTTGCGATGCAACTTGTGCAGGCACGTGTTGCAGGGGAACCAATGCAAGGTCGCGAGGCACTTCGTGCAGTTGAAGAAGTGCCCTGTTGCCCTGTTCGATGTGCTCGTCAACATTTGGAACGGCACGGACTACAAATTTGTTGACCAGCATCATAGATCCATTCGCATGTGCATGGAGGAGCACGACATCAGAGACTCACGAGCAGTTGCAGGAGGTGCACGCTCGCGAGCGCCACCTTCCACTGCACCCAGGGACGAAGTGCAGGACGTGCTGGATGAGATGGAGGAGCGCGAGGGGGTGGAGTTGCCAGGGGAGGAGGTCGTGATGACGTCACGTGGGGCGGAGTCTGTGAGGCGACAGGGGAAGAGGCCAATGGGGGAGGCCGACCAAGTTGCAACCCGGCCTGGGAAAAGGGTCCGCCAAAGCAAGATCGACAAGGTCTACGATGCGGATAAGCAGTCGATCTTCGTCGACAAGTTCCTGCAGTGGGTCTATGACTCTGGTTTTCCTTTCAACGCCTTCAGGAGGTAGTCGTGGAGAGACGTCCGGAAGGCAACGTCAAAGCTGCCTTGAGGAGTGCGGATACAATTTCCTCCCTTCAAGCGAATCGGCGGAGATGGAGTTCCTTCGCAGAGGGCGAAGGTGGGGACTTTGCTACGGAAGGTCCGAGAGACGTTTACTCACAGTGGCGCCATCATCTTGTCGGATGGTAGGAAGTCGCGTGATGTGCGGCCCATCGTGAACTTCCTTGCTGCAGGTGCAAGTGGCGCCCTGCTCTATGCCACCATATGTCGCGACGGTTCTGTACCCGAGACAGACGCCATTGTGTTCCGCAGATGGAGGACCATCATCGAGTCCTTCCTTGCGAAGGACGTCACAGCCTTCTGCACAGACTCCGCTAGTAATTACACAGCAGCCGCTCGTTTGCTCGCCGCATACCCTGATCCAGTTGTGCGGCGCATCACTTGGATCCCCTGTTCCACCCATGTCTGCAACTTAATGTTGTCAGACATTGGGACACGAGTGGGTTGGGCCACTGGCACCATCATCCGTGCACGAGCGATGGTGCAATTTATTAAATCGCACGGCGCGGCTCTCGCCCTGTACAAGAGGAAGAGCCCACGCGTTTCGCTCGTTCAGCCAGTTGAGACTCGTTTCGCATCAGTTTTCATGATGCTGACTTGTCTCGTTGGGAGATGCGACTTGCTTGAGGGGATGTTGCATGACGACGCCTGGGCGAGTATCCTGTGGGAGCGGAGGCTTCTGCCCCAGGCGAGATGGGTGGGTGTCGAGATTCACGATGGTGAGTTCTGGCGTCTTGTGGAGTTCGCGATCCATGTGATGGAGCCCATCCATCAGCCACTGAGGCGGATGGACAGAGGAGGGATGATGATGTCCATCGTCTACGAGTGGAGTCGACATCTCATTCAACTTTTGAGGAAGATGGACGATGTGCCGGTTGATCTACTGACCCCGTGCGTGCGCGAGGTCGAGATGCGGCTCATGCACTTGCTGGAGCCCGCGCACGCTGCCACTCATCTCCTAAACCCCCATCGACGGTCTTTGAGGTACTATGAGTCCCTCCACACCACGCCGGAGGATGCGGAGGTTGTACAAGAGTGTGATCGTTTTCTCCTTGCCCAGACTGGAGGTGATCTGACAGACAGGGATTACCTCATTGTCCGTGACCAGATGTGTCGATTTCATGCGCGCAGAGGAGACTGGGGTGATTGGCTGGTATCGGATGCAGAGGCGGAGGATTGTCACGGCGATCAGGAGACGCACCATTGTGCGGCATGGTGGTTTGCCCATGGGACTGGCCATCCAGAGTTGCGCGCCATCGCTATCCGTGTGATGCACATGTGCACATCAGCCGTTCCTGAGGAGAGGAATTGTGCAGCCCACGAGCGCATTCAGACGACAAATTGGAGCCGACTTGGCTTCACCAAGTTGGCACAGCTGGTTGAGATTATGACAAATCTCAAACTGGCTTCGTGTAGGCAGCAGGGTGGCGGGTATGTGCTTTCGTAGATCATGGATGGCGTCGACCGCGACAGGGATCGGCGGCAGAAGGATGAGGATGAGGAGGACGGTGATCCTGAGTCTGAGGTGTGGGGGGTGAGACCTGCTGGCACTGTCTACGATCAAGAGATCAGGAGGCAGATTGAGGATTTCAGCAAAGACGGCACAAGCCGTCCATGAGAGGTGTCATCTGTCTTCGGGGATAGGGTGGCCACTCTGCTCCCTTTCGACCATGTGCCTCCTTCCCCATCCCATGCAGCAGTAGAGGGTTCTTCGGCAGTCGATCAGGATGGAGAGGACAATTAGACGGACCCAAAGGACATTGCGAGGGGCACCGACAAGACGGCGGAGCAGGTATACTTCACGTACGGCGGTGGATCGGATGGCCATGCACCGCAGACGTCCGTCATCACTGATGATGTTGCACGCGGGGCACAGGGTAGTGCCCCTCGATGACTCCTAAGCGGGCCAAGGTCGTGGTGCCGTTGCTCGCGACGTTCCCCCGCGCGCGAGGAGAGCTATAGGGGTGGACTCGAGTGGCGATGACGAGGCAGTTGACGATGACCACCTTTGGGACCGTCGGTTCGATCTGAGCCACCACTCGAGGGAGCAGTCACAACAGCTTAGGCGGTCGAAGAGGTTGGAAAAGTGTAGCGGTTCGGCATCTCAGCTCCCTCGGGACATACCATTTGTGGAGCGGACTACTTCGCACGGTGGTCCCGCTCAAGCCGCGACATCGGACCTGCGCACCAACAATTTCGACATCGCGGGTTCGCATGGAGGCTCGCCTGTCTTACGATGCAGAGTGGGTGACAAAGTCGAGTACAGGACAGATGTCAGGGAGAGGGAGGAGACAGTTGAGGAGAGGGACGCTCGCCTGGATCATGAGGAGGAGGCTTTGTTACAGTCTATGCCTCGATGGGAGGGCAAAGAGGCGTATGAGGTCGAGCAGCGGAGGCAGAGGGAGTTGGAGACAACTGGAGCGCATGCAAAGCTTGTTAATGAGAGGGACGCTCGCCTTGATCACGAGGAGGAGGCACGGTTACAGTCTCAGCCTCGGTGGGATGGCAGGGAGGAGTATGAGGCCGAGCAGCGGCGAGAGAGGGAGTTGGAGACTACTGGAGCACCGGGTGGGGCGGGTATACCATCGAGCGTCAGACCGGTGCCGACGATGGCGCCGGGTGGAACAGACTCACGAGCTGACAGCTCCGACGACGGCGAGGACTGTGAGCCCGCACTCAATATCGTACACAACGTCGTAGTTGGCTTATGCGGGGCAGGAACAGATGGTCGGATTCATGGAGGGGAGGAGGACATCGTGGACGAGGGCAGTGTGCCTTTGGAGGATGATGCAGCACAGGTTGAGGAGGGAGCAGGGGTCCACGCAGGCCACAGTTGCATGAGCGACGCCGATAGGCAGGGGTCGTCTCCACGAGGTGCACGAATCGACATGTCCCTCGCGATGATTGTTAGGACCCCGTCGGTGCGAGATGGCGGGCATGTTGACTCGGGCCGCCCGGTCTCTTTCTCTGCTGGTGGGTACTCCGGGGAGATGCCTCAGTGGGATGGCGGGGAATCGGGGGACTGCACACCGACCAATTTACATCCGGAGCAGTTGGAGAGGTTGGGGATGGAGGACCCTTTCCCGTACACCGGTGGACTGACCTTGCCTCCCGCGTGGGCACCAATGAGCCCTAGGTGGACTGGATCATCGCCCTCTAACATCCGCGAGCGGGAGTCCTTGGACAGTCAGGCGGCAGTGTTCTCAGGTGGGGTTGCGAACAGCCAGATGCAGCCACCGCAACGCTCTTTATCTCCAGCATTGTATCAAGGACCGGCGTTGGCCACAGGTCTTCCACCGACTGGTGGTCAAGGCAGCGGGCGCGGATCTTCTTCGAGTCATCGAGGTGGCGGTTTTGGGGGGTGGTCGTCTTGCAGACGAGAGATAGACCGTTTGAGGAGGGACTACGATAGAGGACAGGGGTTGCTCGCACGAGGACCATCGGAGGAGGGAGTGCCTGCAGTGGGCGCGAGTGAGGCTGGACGACCGAGTGTCCACACAGCAGCACATATACTCAGATTGGATAGAGTTGGGACGAGGAGGACCAAGAGGGTGGAGGTGTATCCGGCCCGATCAGCCATCCAGGACGGCAAGGACAGCCGTACACATCGGGCGAGGATGATTTGCATATGCCACAGGGGTCGAGATGTCATGTCTCGGTCAATGATCTTGAGGCGCAGATTGCTGATTAGCAGCAACAGTTGGCGGAGCTCATTCGAGAGTGTGAGAGGAGGTCGGAGACGGCACATGCCGAGGAGGCGGACACGGAGACGGAGCCCATCGAAACAGCTGCGCGCAGAGAGAGACATCGGAGAGCAGCGGCCGCGGCAGGCCCACACCAGGCACACCTTGAACCCGTAGGGAGAGATAGAGCACCACAGGGCAGGGGTCAAACTGGCCAGAGAGGAGCAGGGGTAGGGAGAGGGAGCAGAGCACGTCAGAGCACTCATACTCAGGTGCGGTAGTAGGAGTTAGGGACATGTGTAGTAGGGTAGATTAGTTTTTTGCTTTCATGTTTTTGTATATTATCTTTATTTTATTTGTACATTACTTTCATGTTCTTAGTTATTTGGTTTCACACTTGTCCTTCGTTGAGAGAGAGAGATGGTTGTAGTATTTTTTTTCTCCACAACGTCGTTAGTTATGGTTTTCTTGAAAACTGTGGGTGTCTGGCGAGGTGAGATTCATTGCATAGGAGGGACCCATGTTGACTGTGTTGTCATTTGGTCATACACACGTCACGTTTGGCAGTGCTATGTTTGTATCATGTGTTGGTGTTTCTGTGTGTGTTGTATTGTCCTTGTGTCTATCGAACCCCATGACCCTAGCCAATGAATGACCCTAGCCAATGAATGACCCTAGCCAACCGCCTTTCAATCAATGAGCCCTCTCTCAACTCTCTGCCCCCCAACACCGCTCCACCCCTCCCCCCCCTCAATCACCTCCCAATGAATGACCCCCACCAACACCTTCCCAACGAATGACTCCCCCACCCTCTCAAACCCCCAAACGAACGCAGTAAAAATAAAATAAAATTAATTGTGTGTTGTTGAAGTGGAACCCCCAAAAGCCAAGCATGCTTTCGGATTTTATTGTCCTTGTGGCAATAAACCCAAATCCTCTCCCAATGAATGACCCCTGCCAACCCCCCTCCCTTCCCCAATCCCCTCCCAATGAATGACGCCCACCAACACCTTTCCTAACGAATGACTCCCCCACCCTCTACAATCCCTAAACAATCCCAGTTAAAAAAAAAATAAAAAAATTCTCTATGTGTCGTTGAAGTGGACCCCCCAAAAGCCAAGCCTGCCCCGTCGAAAATGAAAAAGGGGGGTCCCTTATTTTTTAACCCCCTCCTAAATACACCCCAATTTGGACCCCCCCGTTTTTATTTTTTTTTATTTTTTTCTTTGGGGTGGTGTTGGGCCTCGGTCCCACCCCTGGAATCCCGAACCCCGACCTCGCACACCTCCTCTCGCTTGCCCGCGGCGGGCCTTCCTCGACCGCGGCCGCGGCGGTCACGACCGCAGGCCCGCGGCCTCGACCGCGGGCTGCGGTCAAGCCCGCAGCGACCGCGGCCGCGGGGGATACATAGGAACAAGTACCCCATTCCGGTCACAAACGTGAATGGTGGGGCGGTAGAAGTTCACCGAGTGGTCCTTGCTGCGCAGCCACAACAAGCCCAAATTCATGTCGAACTTTGTGTACAGCATGTCAAAGGATACAGCCTCGTGTGCATGCGGGGCAAAGTACACAGGGACCTAGTCAACGCACTAGTCAATGGACTTGTGCGTATGCCCGTCGGCCAACGTGACTTGCGTGGGCTGTGACTTCCTTCGAATGCGCGGCCCAAGGCGGATGCGCGTCATGAAGTCTTGGCTGATGTAGTTGTGAGTAGCTCCAAAATCAATCAAGGCGCTGCAGGTTGCCTTCCCAATCTGAATGTGGACGTAGAGTAATGGTGTGTCGATGTTGTCGTACCGTTGTGTGGCATACTCGCTGTCAATCTTTGCAATGTACTCATGAAGGTCAACAACCGCTACTCCGTCTTCCATCAACGGAGTTGGTACTGCAACGTACAAGTAGTTGCGTAGTTCCGCCATTAGGGATTTGCAATGAGGCTTTGGCAAGGAACCAGATGGGGGAGGAGGCATCCATTGGAAATCCTCGGGCGTCAATGGGTCGAGGTCCTCAAGTCTAGACCATACCGACGAGTCCCCAAGTAGTGTCGGCGAGGATGCTGGTTCACTTGGCGATCGTGATGAAGTCGCTCATGCATATGACTCTTGCACGTGAAGAGGTTGGTCCAACGGAGGGACCAACTGGACAGCATAGTCTTCGTAACTTTTTTGAAGACTTGCGACATACGTATGTTCCCCGGACGTGGAGGAGGTTGCTAGCAATGCAACCGTGTCCGGTGGAGTAGGAAGTGGAGTCGCCTCATTTCCCGTGGAGCTCAGTTTCCCGATCTTTGACGTGGGTGGACGTCTTCTTTGCCTTTGTCGGGGCACTGCGACGTCGTGTGCTTGGTGCTGTTGCACCAGTAGCAACAATTCCACTTCTAGCGGAACTTGTATTACTCCTCTGTGAGGCCAAATTTCTTCCATGGCTCATTCGGCTGTTCGGCCTCCGTTGTTGACGCGGATTTCGCATTCTTCTTCGTCTTGTTGTGTCATGGCGGAAGGGCGTTGACACCGTCTCCTTCACTAGACTCATGAGTCGGCACCTGGTGATTATCTTGTCCATCGAATTGGACAGCAGCGACTGGCTGCGTAAGCGGGCTTTTTTTTTTTTTTTTTTTTTTTTAAACCAACACAAGCTCCATCTATTGGTGGGGAGCATCACCTACTAGAAACCGGGTCCAGCGTCCCTTAGATACAACCATATCCTCATAAAATTGACACCAGCTGGGAACCGGGTCCAGCGTCCCATAACGAGTATGTTCAGAAAACTTCATCAGAGTATTCATGAAAGTGTGCCTCTTCACCCCCTAGGGGCGCCAGATCGCATCATCTTGGTCCTAGCACTATTCTCACTTTTTCTGTCCATCCTGATTTGCTGGAACTATCATGGTCACAGGTTCATTCATACCCATACTTAGTCCTTGAGACCAAGCTTAGCGTTGAGGGGGGAAAGGGGTCTGGAAACTCCGATGCTGGTTGTAAAGGGATCGTTGGGTCTGTCGTAGTCCAATCATTAAAAGCAAGACAATAATCCCGTCTCAGTTCTTCTTCTTCACCCCTTTTTGCCCCTTCCCATTTGACCTTCCCTATCTTTCCCCCATGGGTTCCTCCTAGCCAACATTGGTTGAATCTTTGGATGTTTTGAAGTATTTCTTTTTGTGAAGATAAGATTTGTACTTTTTCCTTGCACTGTTCCCATTTCATAATGATGTCTGTTTGTATTTGTTGTTTAAAAGTGTCATTGAATTTTGGTCCTTCTAGTCGAACTCCCTCCATTTTGTACTTACATCTTCTTAACCATATGACCCATAATACCACTCTTCTACCCATGCTGAACAAATTTTTTGAGAATTCGTCAATAGACTCAGGGGACCAGGCTTCAAGAAGAAGGGTTTTCCAATCGCATGGCCACTGGATTTGTGTTTCTAAATTAGACCATATACGGTCCCACCATCTCCAAAGCCAAATGGCCCCTGGACATTGAAGGAAGACATGCTCAATTGTCTCAAGAATTAATTTAGATGGAAACGCCGACCTACAAAATTTACACCAGGGAAGTGCTATTCCCCTTTGTTCCAATGTTGTCCTATCTATAAGCCAGTTATTTGTAGGTAGACACCTATGTTCTATTTGCCATTGTAGTGAAGCCACTTTTGCAGGTTTAATTTTGGTCTTACTGAACCATTTTATCTTTCTTAATAATTCCTTATTAATATTAAGATGTTTCATCCATCTTTCCTCTACTTTACACTTTAAGATAATTCTTGGGCGAAGCATCCTGTAAGTGGATTTCACTGACAACGTGTGGAGAGCACAAGAATACTTCGTTCCTTTCCTTCCTGTATTGGACCACCTTCAATTCACAGGATCTAGAGCCAAATGACTTATGGGTGTATCAGGTTTAAAGACTATCCATTTATCATTGTGCTTCAATACTCTAACCCTGAATATCTGGTCTTTTGTTCTTTTACTTATATTGTTCTGATTATTGATTATAACATTAAAATTATTGTCCAATTTATATGTGGTAAGGAGGACTTCCCCATTTTCCAATACTATAACAACATTGCCTAATACCCCTGGATGATCTTTTATAGCCACCCAATCACTTTCCAATATCTGAGGTCCCTTTTTTAAAATCCTTACCCAATCCAATGGAATCCAATCAATTACATTTTCTAAGGCTTTGCCCTTCTCCACTAAATTCGGTTGGGTTTGCCGGTGGCCCACCGATTGGATTGGATTACTTTGCACGCCTTGTCCAAGATCTGGTTAAAGTCCGTGTACAAGCTGCGCTCACCAAGGGCCGTGCTCAATGCGTCAACCGACCGCTGGAAGACTTTGCGACGGAGATGCACGAATGGAGTATCTAGATTCGGGATTATCACAATTTTCTGCCACTCGGTTAGCCATTCGCGTGTTGGCTGGCTGCCTTGGTGCATGGTGAAGATCTGGTTCGCGCCTTTGCCTTGAGCGTCGTCAATGATGAAGCGCTTCCGCCATTTCTCGGTCATGGCCTCCCAAGTGAACTTGGTGTAGAGTTTGTGCCAGGTGGTTGAGCCACACTTGGCTGGCACCGGTGCTGCAAAGGTAAAGAGATGAGATCTTCGATTCTGCCGGGACTAAGTGAATGGAGAGCTCGTTGGTGAAGCCCTGCCACCAAGTCACGGGGTCCGCCTTGTGGTAGTCATCGAACTTCTCGATGCTGAACTTCGGCATCTTGTAGAGTCTGGGCGACATGCTGTTGCAGGTCCCAGGTGGTTGCTGCTGCAGCTGGTGCAGGTCAGTTTGTACCGCAGCCATTTGTTGGCTGATGGTCGCCGGCCGCTGGAAGCTGTTCAAATTGCCGATGAGCGCTACCAGGTGATCCATTCGTTCCTCCAGATCGCGGATAGATGGATCGATGCTTGAGGATGCCATGTGCCTGTGCAGCATGTCCTCCTTCTCCAGTTCCTCAAGATGGGCATGGAGACTCTTGAGAGTCTCCTCGTAATCGGAAATGATACGTGCCTGCCGAGCCAACTCCACTTATTGCCAGTTGCAAGTGAGGATGACTTGGTGCATGATGTTGGCGAGGGCTGACTTGGTCCGTTCCTCTGCAGTCGGTTCTGTATGCGTCTCCGTCGAATCAAAGTTCCATTCTTGGGGTGCAGCGTTACGAGCGACTTCCTGCTGCACGAGGGCGGATGTGGCATCTCGTCAAGCTTGATTATGGTTGGCAGCTGCTTCAGCGTGCTGCCGGCGCCGTTACTCCGCATCGCGTGCAATGGCGTGGAGGCGTGCGGCTTCTGCTGCCGCCTCACGTCGCTGTTCCTCTTGTACTTGCTGCATGTAGGTGGATAGGCGGGCCATAAAGGCCGTCATTGTCTCACCCTGTTGCCGGATTGGTGCAGCGTCGAGGGCTCCCGCAGGTGTCGCAGTGGGAACCACCTGCTGGACCTGTGGGACCAGGGGGCTCTCACTGCACACCTCGCGTGGACTGCCGGATGCAGCATTGTCCACCGTGGGGTTGCCCTGTGCCTCCATTGCAGAGGGCAGGGGCAGGGGTAGCTGCTGCTCTGCTGCGGCTGCCCGCCCTTCTCGTTCTGTGATGTGTCTGCTGCTTTGGAGCATAAGTGGCGGTTAGCTTTACTGTGTTGGCTGACGTGGTACTTGCTGACGTGGCGCTTGCTGACGTGGCACCT